GCGCTTCCTATGCGCTCATTGGATCACATGTATTAATTATATTATTCAATAACTATTGCAAATTTTGCAAAATCGTACATGACTTTTCGATTCAGATTAATTCAATTTACTTTCACACTTCGACTTCGCGTCAAACTTTTTCAGATATTCTGAATATATAGCACATAATATCGATATCAAATCGACTTGTCAATAATTGGTCGAAATTCGTGTCCATTTTTAAGTCGAATCGACTACAAATTTCAACCGTCGATCGACTAGTATAATCGACGTCAAATCGACGTCGATTCGACAAGGTATTTCTGACTGGGGTCGTCATTACGTTATTCTTTCATAACTATTTTTGTGCTTAAAAAACAATGAATGTGAAATCAACAGAATACTCTCTTTATGTCATTTATTAATAATTAATTCGTAATTACCGATGAGAAAACGCCTCTATATTGGTCTTATCTTATGTATTCAGAATTAAATATTTACACTGATAGCGTAGAAACTTCATGGGACAACACTTATGTCTGTAACAATCTCTATATTTCTCACTACTGTGGTTAGAAAATTTGTGCGTCATCGCCTTCAGTTTTGGTTAAGAGGGTACTGGATACCGACTATAGCGACCTGTAAACCGACGTTCTTAAATCAGATTCTGTGTCGTATTTACTGCATCAAATCCAAAATGCTTCTCTAGAAATAAGTAAATTGTACTAAGAATTGGCGCTTGTTCTTTGGAATGTCAAAATTCAGCACAAATTTTTTCTTATACAGTTTCCTTCTATAACCTTACTATATATTCATGTATGTAGAATTATTTCTAATCTTATGTAAGTATTTCCAGCAAATTAGCACCCAACATACGACAAAAACGAATCGAATGAGCTATTCAAATTATGATTTGACTATCTCATTGACGAGAGAAATCTGAATTCGTGATGATGTGTATTTGATACCATATACTATTATTATGAATGAAAAACTAGTTCAAAAAAGCATTATATACCCATTTTCAAAAGCTTTATATAGTTTTGTATATTTATTTGCTTCTGTAGAAGCGCTTGTAATGTTGTGCAGTAAATAAAATAAAAAAATAAAGAAATTTAGATTATAAAAACGTCGGTTTACAGGTCTCTATAGTCGGTATTCAGTACCGCCTTAAAAAACTTATTCATATATATATCTGTAGAGGGCTTCATATTTCCGGCGCTCTGGGTTTTAGTTTTATTGCTTCTCGCCGATAGTTGAGCTCTTGCGATGCCGCACGTGTTGTTATTTAGCCCTCTCACTTTGTACCCCACAATACTATAAAAAGCATAGCTCTTAAATTGGTGACACACAGTTAGTTTTCGACGGCAAAAGTGAATTCACAGATGCGATCTGACAAAATGGAGAAAACTCAAGTCAAGACGAAGAGAAAGTGTGCAGATATATATAGATGCATATTGATCGTATTCGTGCTAATACTCATAATACTTTTAAAATATTATCTATACAACTATACCAGTTGTAATCTAGTTGGTGTCAATGATACGCGAATCAATAAAGGAACAATAATCCAAGTAATATTATTTTTTTGTGTAATTTGTTTTAATACGTAACAAGAAGATAAAGTTTTATATTTTTTTTTTGTCTAAAAAATTAGTTGCATACAGATATAGAGAACAAAACTTTGACTCAAGTAACGGAAAAACAACCGGAACATGAAGAACAACGTCGTACAACATCGTCTCCCATCGATTTGGAGAATTTAAGAAAATGCACGTTTATTTATTTATCTGTTTGCGTTCCAAAGTGCGAGCAGGAAGGTGGAAAACCTATGTGCACGCGTGGTGTTTGCCGCTGCGAACAAGGTAAAATTCGAATATTTATATATTTTTAGTTACTATTCGAATATTTATATTGTTATTTTACTATCTCAGTGATGTACAACTCAAAGATAAAAGTTCTCTGCATTGTTCTCCCCTTTGTTTATATTAGTAATATATCAAATTTAATCTAACCCTTTAGTGCCAGATATGGATCTCCGTACTGCGGAGATACTCCTCCTTGTCACGTGACCTTTACTTTAGTCACGTTTTGAAATATACGTTTATTATTTTTTAGACGATAATAATTGATGGACTAATGCTGAAAATGCAGTTTTCTTTAGTCCAAATCGCATGCTTTGTTCTCGTAAGATTTAATGGAGACTTGAGATTGGAACTGCAACAGTTATTTTTTTATAAATAATATAGTTTTATATTGTGTATTTTATGCTCGACAAATGAATAAATATCAAAACAATAAAAACACAATTGTATTTCAAAGTTTATACCTTCGGAATTCTGACCTGCTCTCAGAGGCGGACCGTTAACTTTGGGGGGTCTTGAGCTAACACTGTTCACCTATGCCAGTACTTGGAATTCTTTTTAGTACAAAAAGAAAAAGGTCATTTTTGCCGTTTATTTTTGACCGTGAAGGGATCCTTTGATTAAACGGAGCCCCGGGCTGCAGCCCATAAAGACCATGCCTAAATCCGCCTCTGCCTGTAGATGTCAGTTATCCAAAAAAAAAAAAAAAATAAAATAAAATAAAATACGATACCTAAATAATTTGCTTGTTAAATTCTTATCTTTTTATTTCCACAAAGTGTGTTTTAATGACTCTTCTGTAATATATATTTAAGATTTGTTTGAATCTGACATTATATATAAATTTAAAAAATTGTTCAAAATTTGATAAAATATTTCCTATAGTCAAAATAGACAGTTATTGGCCATATGAGTTCTGTTAGTATCTGTTTACATAACAGTTATCATAATAAAGTTTTTATTTTGACTTATGAAAATATAGGAATGAATATTTTATTTATAACACATTAAAAACTAACAAACCTACTTACATTTGTATCTATAACTCAAAATAAGAGGCCAATGACTGTCATATGGTTTTCATAACCTTAAAAACAGTGATTGGCCAGTTGGTCAATGGTTATTGTATAACAATAAGTTTTTGAGCTTCTTAAATACTATAATATTACTTTTATTCGGAGCAGAAAAACTTAATTAATATTAAAATGTTTATAATTTAGAATATAATGATAGTATTTTTTTATATTTATTACTTCTTTACTACATGGCTAATTACTGTTGGGAGGCCAACAACTGTACTGTTTAGCCCTACTCGAAACACTTTGTAAAACTCGAGCGTGTTCGAAAGCGCCGCGTAGGTGAGCGCGCGTCACGTGATCGCATGCGTCGCTCCGTGCGCGCTGCCGTTCTTCTGCGTGCACAGGATACGTGGGAAAGCTGTCAAGTGCTCTCGCGATCCAGAGTTGCTTAAGTCAGCTGACGCCAGGATGCAATTGCTCGTCGCTCATCAACTCTAACGAGATCGCTCGTGCAATCGTGTAGAAGATCGTTGGTACGAAGTGCTTCGTTTCTTTCTTCGCAAATCAAGGTGAGAACTCAAAAAAGAGAAAGACGATGACTGAGATAATCTCGTGGCTCTTCTCTCCGTCACGCGAACGCATATTGATTTGCGATACACTTACGGCAATGTTCACGTTTAATGATAATTCGAAAACTAATCTTTTTCAAACGTTCTTAGAGAGTGAAATCGTGCGTTGTTTTGAGGTTAAGAAAATATAACGTTGTGTGACGGGGATGAGCTCGATGCATATTTTAACTGGTTTTTTTGTACATAATTCACGAAATATCAATTGTTGTTTGTATTTCAGTTGGTGGTTGAAGAGTTTGTCTACATTTATACAACGTCTCTAGAGCAATAAGGATCATCATGCCTCTCAGTGCAGGTAAATAGGACTGGAACATATTTATGCTTTTTATTCTGATTATTTTACGTGCTAAACGCGTTAAAACTCTAAACAAATATGATATGTGTATTTTATATGATCTATTTTTATAGATAAAATATATTGCTATGTGTTGCTATATTCTGTCTTGCAGATATATCTACAGCGCTTCATTTATTGGAGCATGTTCAAGAACGTGTGGAGGATTGCGATGATCCCAAACTGCAGATGCACACATCTCAAGATCTGAAGTCGTTGATTTCGTTACTGGAGGATCCAGTGTTTCGCAGCATAGTCACCATTCAGGATTCCTTGCTTGAACTGAACAGCCAGTTGCTGATTCATCCCTCTATTGTGCCCGGTGACTTTGACATCAACGTCAGCGGGCAGCTAGAACTATCAACTCCCAGCTCAAGTACTCAGGGAGTAGGACAAAATATATTCCAAGATTATCAAGATAGCAGCGACTTGGAAGATCAAAGAGTACCAGTTGCTCCTTTAATGCATGGCAGCAGCAGCGAAGATACAAGTGCACAGGCATGTTTATATTAATTTTGAGTATCAAAGATCAATTGCGTGGCATTTTTACATGCTAAGAGAGCTATTTCGTTTACAGGTGACCAGTCCCAGTCTCGTCTCAGAAGTAATGGGAATGCCGCCAATAACCACTTCCACTTACGCAAAGGAGTTTAAAAAGGTCATTGAAGCTGCGGCAAAAGGACGACAGATATTTACGGTGCAGGTACATTTTGTTTTTAAGATAATAAAATATCTTGTTTAATGCAATGTACGACTTTCTGTATCTACGGACTATTTTTGGTTTTGTTTTTATGAGGAAACATTTATATTTCAAATATTTTAAACGGTCAAATATTTCATATTTTTCTAGCTGTACAGACCGGAAGGAACCAGTCTGGGATTCAGCGTGGTTGGCCTTCGCAACGAGAATAAAGGCGAGCTCGGCATATTCTTACAGGAGATACACGCGAACGGCATCGCAAGCTGGTGAGTCAGCAATTCATGTTTTTTTGTTGCGTTGCCGCTGCATGCTTTTGAAATACGGGATTTATACAATTCTGATAATCATATTGTCGATCGATAAAATGTAAAAATAACCGCCACATTGTTATCTCGTGGCGTCGGTAATTTATAGTCTTTCATTTGCCAAAACTAATTGGAAAAAGATGATAAACTGATTTCGCTAAAATATCCGTGGAGGAATCCGATTCATAAAAGTTTCTCGTTAATGTTATATGTCACGAAAAAGCATGTTCTCGAACGCAATCAGAGAGATAAATCTCTTCAAATGTCCTAGATGTCGAGTAGACATTTGATAGCCGTCAGAAAAAAAGAGAGCACCGCGATAACGGTTTTGAAGTGGGAAAATAAAGGGTGACCCATGAAAACGCGCGCGATATATCAGGTGATCCAATAACTTCGCTTTACCGCAGTGCGGTCGTCGAACCGACGTTTTTACAGTGAAACTAAACGCGCGCGAGATCCTACTTGTTTTTCATTGTCTTTTATCGCGTAAAACGCTCGAAAGTGTCCGACACTTGAAACTTCCATTCCGCAACGGAAAGACAAATCGAACGTGTCAAAACATTTTTATTGCTATCCACGTTTCACCACGCCAAATTCTCGAATCTCTCCGCGGGAATTTATCGCTCAGTGCACGAGAATCTTGGCGCAATACGATCCCCTTTCAGCACGAACGAAAACTTCTCCGATTGCTTTTGGCAGAGAGAGAATCAAAGTTGCCCGATGCGTTCATCATTGGTCGAAAACCGCAAACTCGGCGATTGAGAAACGCGCGCGGTAATTCCACGCGGAGAATAGTCGTCGCGTATAGTCTCAAAGCGAGCGATCGGCGAAGGCTTTTGTTTTCGCGGATAGCGCGCGTTTCTCCACGGCACACCCTGTGTGCGATCGCGGGCATCCGTCACACGCATGCCCGTTACCCTCCATCCGGAAGCTTCGTCGCCACCGCCACCGCCGTCGAGAAAACGCCGCCTTTGAAAAAGAGCCTCCCACTCGACCAGTCTTCGACGAACCTTCGTCGGTTGAAGGTCGCGGGGTGTTTTCCCTGTGCGCCCTTATCACGCGGCGCGACACGCACCTCATCCTCCTCCCCGCGCGAATCACGCACTCAACTGTGACACGCTGTGAGTAGTGCGACGCGGCGCGAGACTGCGTATGTTCTTCGCTCTTTCTTTCTTTTTTTTTTTTTTTCCCACTCCTGCGCGCACAATTTTCCGTGTGCTCCATTTTTCGCAGTGCGCTTCTCCGCGTGGGTTTCTCTCGTCCGTGGGCTATGCGTCCGCGTGTCTGTCGCACGATGATTTCTACATGTGTCGTCCATCGAGAAGGTGCCATCGCCGATTAGTCGCCGCGACTACGAAGCTGCAGTAGTACACGCGTTCACATATCGAAACCGTGAACCATGCGAGTTTTCTTATCGCATTTCGGAGCGATGCTCTTTCACGCGATGCGCTCGTTAATCTCCCGCGCAGTATCCGCTCGCGCGGTCTCGTGAAGGGCAACGGAGTTGGTTGCACACACGCACGGGGAGGTGAGTGAACACGACCTCGTTCCTACGTGTAACCTCACGTGGTTCAGCATGGTCCGTAAATATATATATCGCCTAGCTCGAGGAAATACGTGCAAATGTCAGGGTGTACGCACGATACACGATATACGTAACATCGACAAACAATTGCAGAAGATAGAGAGTCTCGGGCGAAGTTTAGACGCGAGCGATGGAAGTCGCGGAACCGCAGTGACCAAGTATAGTCGTTGGTAAACCGCGTCGAGAGAGAAATATATACATATATATACTTTATATACATATACATATATATATATACGTATAATCCACAGAGTTATGCAATGTTGTTCGATATGCTCTCGAGTGAAGGAAGTTACAGTAAATGCCGCGGTCGATTGACGGAATTTGCTCGCTCGCGCGAATCTCGCGCAGGTGAACCGTGTGTTTACATTCACCGAACTGAAATGACTCGTTGAACATTTTTCGCCCGTCATCGTTTTCGCGCTCTCTTTCTCTCTTTCTTTTTTTTTCTCTTTCTCTCTCTCTCTCTCTTTCTGTCTGTCTGTCTCTCTCTCTCTGCGCCGGGTATATGCTAACGATCTGCGGCGCAAAATTGCGTTTTTATCGACTACTCGCGTGGGGGTGTTCTACCCGGTAGAGCGAGAAACGCGGCACAGAGCTACAGAGCGTGCGGTCTGTACACGCCTCGTACCTAGCGAAACTGGGTTAGATCGGGAGTAGCTTAGTAGGCCTCTCTCATCGATCCTGGATTTGAATTCAACGTGAAATTATATTCGAACGATGCAGCAGGATTATTCATGTGTCCCGGGACGGACCCTCCGACGTTTGGCGACGTGGAACGATACCTAATGCTGCCGTTCACGTGTCGACGTTCGCACGAAATTAACCGACCTTCCGCACGGCGCCGAAGATCGGGCGCGCACTTCTGCACCCTCGTCGAAAATTTGCCGTTCGCGTGCGATTAAATTTATCACTCGCGTACACGTGATCGGGGATCGCACGCCGTACATAAATTAAATTTGCTGTCCCCGGTGATATTGCTCCCGTGTATGCATAAATAATGACAAGCAGCCAACGCGAATGACGGGGAAAAGGAGTAAAGCGTGTCTAAAAACCACGTCTCGTATTGTTTAACACGCTTTCTCCGTAATTCTAAATATTTTCACGTTGTCACGTAATTGCATTATTATTACTGCTATTTTTATTTTGAGTTTGACATATTCAAGTGCGCGTACATATTTGCAGATTATTATTATTTGTGTTTTGTTAGTATTATTCTGTTGATAGTAATTGACTCTATGTTTTTTCTGCACTTAATCAATTTTTAAAGTCGAAGTAAACTTGTACCTGTGTTTTTTGATTATTAATTTTTCCTGAGATATACATTTTTATCCGAATAAATTGTATAAATTTTTTAATACGTTTTTACATAGGTTTTTCAAAAGTTTCTACCGAATGTGTGAGCTACAGTGTGTAAGTAACTTTGTTGTCGAATCGATAGCCTACATAAAGCAAGCGCGTTACGTTAAACAATGTTAGCGGAAGAAAAAATCGAGCTTTAAAAATTCACAAAGTGCCTTAATTAATAGCTGTGGTTAATAGTTTGAAATTTTTTTACAGCGAGTGGATTAAACGAATTTCTTTACACGACGTGTATACGGAAGTTAGTTTTTTGTTTTATTTGCAATCTCTATAAAAGAAACGAAAAACAAAAGAAAAAATTGTCGACCTACCGAATTGAGGAGAAAGAATCTCAAGCGCTTCGCGAGTAATTTTATTAGCATCAGTTTCGTTTAATAAATCACTGCCGCTTTAATATCCATTTTATATATATTTCACATTGATAGATTTGTATTGACAGTGGTGATTGGTAATTAATTTAGACTGCGTTGAGAGATTATCGTAAATTTAATTAATTATCGCGTGTAGAGCGCAACGCGATGTTTGTTTGCGATTGTTCCAAGCTTTTTTCGAGGGGTGGACGGAAAGAGACGTAAAATTTATTCCTCGTGAAAATTTTGGCACGGTTATACGGCCAAAATTCGAAGTTCGTTGGTTTACATCTATCAATGCGCATGCGATAAAATGTGCAGTATTATATAACGCACACACGTCGGTTCTCGAAAAAAGCTAGCGTGTTAATGCGGTGTTAATTGTGCGCGCGCGCGTGTACGTGCGTTAACGAATTTATTGCGCGCGAGAGAAAGTCAAGAGTGAATTATTAGCCAGTTACACTGCGGTCGTTTTTCTCAGCAACAATATATAAATATTTCAAATGCGCGTTCACCCAAGTTTTCGTAAAAGCAAATGATAATTAAATTAAACGCGGCTTTACATCACACGTCCCATTTGTTTGTCGGGCGCGAGTTTTATTCGACGGAACGATGCGTCGCAGTAATTCATACACGTTGTGCATATAGGTACTAATACCTTTATATACAATATTTGATATTGTAAAATGTGATATTTTACATTTGCTCGCGGGCGCGCGCGCGCGCGTGCGCCGTGTTAAAATATGACAAACATTCGTGCGAGACGAAGATTTTGTCGTGAGAACGGCACGATTGAAACCTTGATGTTGGGGATTTGTGTCTTACTCGCGTTTATCGAAGCGTCTACCGAACGGAATTTACGAGTTAACTCGCGCGCGCGCGCAAAAAAAAAAAAAATAATACGGGATAAGTTTTCCAAAAGGAAAAGCCAGCTTCTTCGTCCGCGGATTACCGAATGGACTCAAATCCTCTCTCGGAGGCTTACGATTTACAGTAAGCGATTTCATTATGTATTATTGGCACGCTTCCTTTTCCTCTTCTTAACTTTTCAAAGAGGAAACCCGTCGGATGGATTTTGCGATGCATTTTGTAACATTTTCCGGAGAAAATATGTTAGCGCGAGAAAAAGCGAATTGAAGTAGTCAGTATTAAATCACAGAATAATTGATGTCTTTAGAATCCTATTTCGCTTTTCGCGCCGTCTTATTCCATTTGCGTTACAAAAGACGAGGCTCGCGCGCGCGATTGTTCCAGACCAGCTTTTTGGAGACTCTCAACTTCCTCTCGTGTGTTTTTTCAAGCTTTTTTTTCGCGCGCGCGAGACGAATATAAACCTGAAAATAGATCGTCGTCAAAATCCAGGTAATTAGATCGTCGTCGGTCGGAACTATCTCTCTCGTTTTATTGCGGCGCGATCGTGTCTCGTTCTAAAACAAATGTTTCGCAAGAGGGTCAATATCGTTAGCCGAAGCGCGTGCGTTATATATAGTTTAGTAACAATGGAGATCAGTATCCCCGATAGTTTGCACTTTGCAGTCGACCCGGGCGCGCGCGCGCTTGTTCGCTCGTTCGCTCGCTCGCTCGCTCGCCTCCACCTCCGTCACGTTTTGCGCTTTGTTCGTTCGATAAAGGTGAGACAAATTTCATCACCGAATCAAACGGTG